AAAAATCAGCCCATTTCAGAGCAGACACAGGGCAGATAAAGACATGGACCCCGGTGAGTCATGTCTTGTTTTGATCCCTTTTGGGAGCTGCTGGTTTCACCTCAGCAGGAATAGCTGCAGGCATGATGTCGTCTGCTGCAGTTGCTAATGGAGGAGGAGTGGCAGCTGGAAGTGTGGCGGCTGCTTTGCAGTCAGCAGGTAAGTTAATACTTAGATGTTTCATTAGGATTTTAACTTGTAACAACATGCAAAAAGAAAAAGTTCATCAAAATATCATAATTTTAGATTAGATAATTGCATCTGTTGTATGCTTTTGACAGCTTCTTTGTGTCATGGTGCTGCAGGTGCAGCTGGTCTGTCAGCTACTGCTGGTGCTGGAGCAGCAGTGGGATGGTTGGTGAGTTTCATCAGCTGAAAATCATGTAGAACTCATATGTTTGCTTTATGCCAAAACTGGAAGTCTTGTTATTCTCTCAAGATTGTTTTTAATCATTGTGTTGTGTTTTCATGATGATAATTTTTATACATTTATATTAAAATTAACTATTATGGTGCAAAGCTTGTGTGTATCATTAGTACAGCTAACTGTGTTCAATACACTTAATCCTTTGTGAAAGAGTAAAGGGATAAATGTGAGTATTAAGTAGTTTTTGTCACGGTTCTGGGTCAGTTTGACCCAGTATTTTGAGGAGTTATGTTTTTGGTGTGTTTTTGCATTTTTGATTCTTTTCTTATTATGATGATAATGATGATTATGACTCTATGTTTCGGTTATTCTTGTTTAGGGATTAGTTCGTAGGTTTTTGTGTTCTCATGTTTATTGCAGGTTTAGTTCAGTGTCTAGTCTGTCTCTCTGTGTCGTGTCTGCATGTTTGTTTAGTGGTGTCTTGTTTCCTGTTTTACTCTGAAGGTTCATGTTCCCGTCTTATGTCAGTGTTTCTAGCTTTGTTCCTCCTGTCTCATTAGGTCTTATTCCTCCCAGTTGTGTTCTCCTTCTGTCTCTAATTCCTTGATGACGGCCTCAGTGTATTTAAGCCCAGTGTGTCTTTGTGTCAGTGTCAGATCGTCTGTTATCCTCACCTCGTATTTTCGTAGTTTCCCTTGTTGTGACACTGTTTCATAGCCTGCTTAGTTACTCTGTGTTTATAGTTTTTTCCATAGTTCCTTCACAGAGTGTCTTAGCCTTTTTAGTTTACACAGTGTTCTCTGTCTTCTTAGTTTTCCCAGTTTCAGTGTTCCCTAGTGTTTTTGTTATGCCTTCAGCCACAATAAAGGCTTGCCTTATTTTGGAAACCTAGTTCTGTCTCCACTGTGTCTGCTCTTGGGTCTACCTCATTCTTCACACCGGCGCGCCCGCCGTGACAGTTTTATTTTAAAAAGCTCATACAAGCTACTCCACCTTCTAATGTTACAGTCCCTTGGTGCCTTCTTTCCAGGCCTCTTAAATCATCCCAGGTGAACAAGTGCAATGATCAAGAGGGGAGCTGCTGCTAACTGGTGTGACTGATAAGATCTGACCTATAGTGCTTCTCAGGGTTTATCATATGAGGGAAAGCAGGGGATACACTTGGACTTCAATAAAAAAGCTGAACCAGACTTCCTGTATAGAGGTGCCCGTCCTGCAGATCAACAATCCAGCCTGTCTTATCAAAGCAAGAAACCTTCAGAGGTTGCAAAGGTACAGACATTCTGTATTTTTCACGAGTTGTCAATGCCGATTTCCATCCTCTATACTCAGTATACTGTTAATGCCTTTGTATCTTTTAATGCCTGTTTATGTCTTTATACTAGACACTATAAAGTTGGTGTGAAGGTGGAATTCAGTGAAGGAATCTAAGCATCATCAGCTTAACTTCAAATTCACCTCTATTTCACTTGATGTAACGTAACTCTGATCACAGCCACTGTAATAGACGGGCTTATAGATGGACTTTTTTTTTTAAATCTTAAACTTTAATTTACATTTGACCTTTTGTATTGTCTTTATTGTCTGACTGAGTACCTGAAGTTCTGTTTATTTAAGCCCTTTCTGTACAGTGCTTTGTGACTGCTTTTCTATGAAAAGTGCTTAATAAATAAACCTTACTTACTCTCTTTTGATTAACAGCACATATTTCAATAATAATACTTTGCATCTTCATCCTTAAATATTGTTTCTGTGTGAGGAAATCCAAGTCTGCTATTGCAGCTCTATCACATAGTGCAGACTTTTTTTTTTACATAAAATATCTTTTATGAACATAATGTCACAAAAAATGCTTTCATCACTTCTGCCATACCTTCTGATCTGCTCATTCAGGTGTTGAAGTGGTTTGTTTTTCACTCAACAGTGAAAAGAAAACCATCAGCTGATTTTCACAAACAGCTGATTTACTAAGAAGCATTTGATAGAATTCAAAATTTATAAAACATTGATACTGTAGAAAAAAACACAACAGACCACAGATGAGATAAAGATGTTTGTTTGTTAATTTATTTGCATTTATGAAGCATTATGGAAACATACTTTTCAAGTTCACATATTTCCAGCAGTTATAAAATCCAATCAACAGATTGCTATTTATTGTTAGTTTGGTGAGAGCACCAGACATGCCACTGTGCCAACGTCCAATGCAGCACCAACATGTCTCTGCTGGTCATCAAAGAAGATGTGAGGCTTGATCCTCTGCAGTGTAGGACCTTTGTTAGCCCCTCCCAGAAGCACAGCTTCATCAAGCTCCAGACCCCAGGTGCGCAGAGTGTTTAAAGCTCGGTAGCCGCCACAGTCTGCCCCTCGAGATGTCACCAGGTAGGTACGAATGGGACACTTCTCGCGCAGGCCTTTGCTTTGCAACTTTTTCTGCAGTTTTATTAAAACCTCCAAGAATCCTTTGAATGGTCCCTGAATAAAGGACAAACTAGTCAAAGCAGGAAAGTGTATTTTGGATAATTTAGCTGATATCAGTTTATTTGAATGTAATCTAGCAGAAATGTTCTTTTCTACGATAAAATATGTATTGTTTATGACATCACTGAAGGCCAACATAACTATAACCACGGAGTTAAATAAGGTGTTTTTTAAACATTAAAGAAGTTAAAATGTGTTTCTATTATACCTCTTTCATTGGAATTTCAACATTTTGCTCCTCATTGTTCAAGTATTCTTGTAGTCCACCACTCTTGAACACGAGCTCTGACTCATCAGAGAAGAGGACAGCGTCGCCATCAAAGGCAACACGCAGCTGATTCTCAGACTCTGTGATGATGTTTGTTGGGGTGAACATGATAGCAGCTGCTACACCTGATGTAGGGACATTCATTCACAGTAACACACAGAGTCATTAAAGTACAACAGCAGAAACTGCACTTTGTCTTAAAATTAGCACCACATTTAACACTTTTACCTTCATTCAAAGCTTCCTGAACCTTCAACCCTGGTTTATCACACAGGTACAGGTGGGTTTTGTTTCTTTGTAACTTATTCACAGGTTGATCTTCAGTCACAGGTACCGGAGTGATAAGTTCTTCCAGCCCTGCAAACAAGAAGGAATGAAAAGGCTGCTGGACAATCTGATTTACCAAATCTGTTTAGATTCATCAGAGTAGTGTTAGCAATAGTGTTACTATTACTTACTTATATCTATTATTTTTGTATTGACTTGCTTTTAGAGTACTTACACTTTCAAGTGTATTCTACTTTATAAGATTCTGTTTTAGTGTTTTTGTTGTCTTATTGTAAGCCTGTCATTAATCTATTTAAAAATTTGAAGGGCATGAAAAGTGCTGTACAAATGAAGCCTGAATGATTTAGAAAAGGTATTGGGGTAAACAAGAGTTGATCAGAATCACTTAGAAGTGGAAAGATTGTCTCAGTCTCAGTCTAATTGTTTCCATTTATCCATTTTCTCAAAATTTAGAAGTTTCCTCATAAGACACATGTATTTGAAATAATAGTAAGTGTGTTTGGAGGTGTCATAAACTCACCATGTTCACGGATCTGATCCATGAGAAAGTCTGATAATGAGCTGTCATTGATGAGTTTGACTTTAAAGAGCTCCTCACTGTCAGGGTAATGGTTTGTGAGTTCAGCATTGACTGCCTTCAGAGCCTGAGAGCAGGACAAGGAAGATAAATTAAATTCGAGTGAATGTTAAGTAACTGTGTGAGTGCAGTATTTGTGTGCAGGTTTCTGTGGTGCTTTGTCTTATGTGGTATATTCTCATCTTTCACATAACCACTACATGCAATTTTGTGTATGTGTTTTTCCCCTCATAATATATGACCTTAACAAATTTGAAGGCAGGGCCATAGCCCTGCTGTTCTTGCTTGAAGAGGAGTCCTGAAGACATGGCAATGGTGACGGGGATCTCTGGTTCAGACTGAAGGAGAAAAAAATGTTTCCCACAATTCAATAAAGACATTCTTTTGCATAGTTTAAAAATAAATTGTCAACAATTTTCTTATTTGACCTCTGCACTCATACAGTATGTTATGACACTATTTGCACTTCTTGCTTGCTGATTTAATGCTTTATCTGTACTTTTGTAGGAACTTGTTATGAATCAGTTTTCAACCTTAAATCTTTCTCTGTCTAGAAGATCTTCATGAAAATGACTGGATTTTATTCACTGAGTTGCCACAGCTGCCATTCACTTTTGTCTTCTGCTCTTGGGTCTGGTGTGATAACTCTTTATACTCTCCCACTTTCTTTCTGTTTCCCACAATTTTTCCTAACAATCAATCTGAGAATCAATCTGAGTTAGTTAGTGAAAATCGTCCTACAGAATTGTTTTTTAGTGACAAGGAAGGATATGATTTCTGTTCAACACATAAATATATTGTGGTGATGAGTAAGTAAACATCACACTGCATACTTTCATGCTCGTGCTTCCAGCATCTTGTTGTTAACACTCGTTTGCCGTTCACAAACACACATTACCAACAACAACAACACTGCAGGACCTAGTTCAGCTTTTAAGTCGGTGAGGTGTGATTGTGATGGCGCTCAGGTGTGTGCCGCCCCTGTAGTGGCACCACAGACCACGTCCTGCCACAGAGTATAAGGATGTTTAAAAGATGCTGCAGAAAGCTGCATCTGGTCAGACGGAAAAACACACAAACTCGGATGAGTGTGTGGCGGAGGTGTGGTTCCTGGCTCAGCTGCAGGGTAGGTGTGCTGCAGTGTATAAAAGGCCCCAAAGTTCATAGGTGAATTCTATTTGAGCTCTGATACCAGTGTTTGTAAGTTTGTATACGTTTCTATACTGTTCATGTAGCATTCAACCTTCTGTTAGTTACAGTTACTAACAAGAAAATGTGGTGCGGTCGCGTTAAAATTTTCCAACAAACAGACGGCTGAAGCTGTGTTCAGCTTACCGCACCTTATATCAGATTAAATAAGTAATCTGGGCGCTACAGCTTTACGCAGCTGTGCGCGCTCCTGCGGACGGCAATCACGATCACTGTCTAGCACAACACCTGGAGCTAAGGGGGCAAAACAATCGCATGAGTGCTGCTGTTTGACTGAGGAAGAATAAAGTAGTCGTGGTAAGCCAATCACACGACCACCTTAAGATGACAAAGCAACAAGGTGATATATACCAGTTTTTAAATTGTGTTGATAGGCCACGTAAAACCAGAGTCATGATAAACAATATATATGTGTGTTTTTTCCTCAATAGTTTCGTCATGTTTACTGTCTGAGCACAGCGCTAGCAAGCACTCTCTGCTTATGAGCAAAAAATAAAAAACACAAAACAAAAAACAGCCCGTTCGTGTTGGTGGAAAAATGAACCATGTCAACTAATCAAAAAAAATGGGCAACTTGACATTTGGTTGTTTAGGAAGAGGGGGAAGTTTTAGGAGTGACGGCGAGAGAGGGTGAGAGAGAAAGACAGCAGAAAAAGAGAGAGAGCGAATTTTGAGATGTGAGAGATTTGCGATGTTTAGCATGTTTGGAGTGTGTAGTTAATCTTCTGTAGTTAGCGTGTAGTGTTGGGGATGGTTTTGTGTTGTGTGTCAGAACAATGAGGCGACTGCTGTCTCCAGGTAGAAAATAGGAGCCTGACACCTCCTGCTGTCAGGCTTGTAATGTTGTCCTTTATAGTGGACAGAAATTATTATTTTGGAGTGGCACAAATAATTTGTGTGGCATCTTATTGAAACTGCAAATAACTTTGTTGTTTGCAAAACTTGTGCATTTGATTTTAAAATTGACAATTTATATTTGCATTTAAAGTTATGAAATATGATTCAATAAACATATTTGTGGTTGTTACAGTAAAAAATATAACTTTTTCTACTCGGATTTTATGTTTTTTGTCTTATTTTAGATCAATTGTGTTAATACAGTATGTCAAAATGAAAACATAACTGTAAATTCAGACACGTGAGGTTGTGCTGAAAAGAATGATACCAAACAAGGCAAAGTAAATAGTTTTTAAAAGTGAAATGTAGAGGAAACATCAAATGTATTAAAAAATGACCAATTATACCCTGGACACCAGAGAGTTAAACAATTTTTTTAAGTAACGCAATAGTTACTTTTCAAGTAATTAATTACTTTTAGAATCTTGTAAATCAGTTACAAACTCACTTACTTTTTTGAAGAAGTAACTAGTAACTATAAATAATTACTTTTTCAAAGTAACTTGCCCAACACTGGGCACTATACAGTTGGTATGAAGGTGGAATTCAGAGAATGAATCTCAGCATCATCAGCAAAAATTCATATGAATCTGTGCTACACTTGATGTAACATAACTGTGACCTTTTAATCCATCACAGTGTAGCAAAATAACCTGTTTATCCTGCAGAGGATTTTCATGCAACTTTTAAATAACACAGTTAGTGTACCACAGTTTCCTTTACAGCATGTTTCACATTATTGAAAATGCAGTGTACAATGTACGGACCCAATATCAGATTTAAAAACATGGGGACGTACATGTAAGCTTAAAACTGCAGTTTATCAAACACCACTAAGCAATTGTTACCTTTCTTATCTTTCTCTGAGTAAAGTCAGCTCTCTTTCTTTTCTTTCCCTGTAAAATACAGCAGTTGGACCTTTCGCTAGCGACACACTGTGCAACAAACTGCACATAAACAGTTTGTGTGTTTGCTAAGATTTGCTGAGCTGAAAGAAACGCTGCATTTGAAATTACCTGACACTTAAAAAAGTCACTTCTTTGCTGTCTTCAATAGGGCTAACTAGATGCTGAAATACTGCAACTTAAGGTTTTAAAAATATACATGTTCCAAGATAATATTCAAATTAATACTGGGGGTGTCATGGTCCCCGTGTCTGCCCGGCCGGCTCCACAAGGCCACATGTGTTTTTTGTACATTCTCCTCTCTCCTCCCCACCAGGGTGGAGCTCACTGCAGGCTCCCGCCCTTGGCACACACACCTGCATCTCGTCAGGCTCTAATTATGGGTTGGACTCTTGAGGCCGGGACGCAGACAGCCTCACCGCTGGATGATTGTGCTAGACCTGTCAGTAAACCTCAGCCTGGTATCCTTAAGCGTTGTGGACCTGCGATTATTTATTGTACTTTTTATATTTTATATTTATCTTGCACCAACGGAGTGGCACTCCAATTTCGTTGTACTCTGTACAATGACAATAAAGGCTATTCTATTCTATTCTACCTGCTGTGATCTCTGTGTAACCCTCTTTTCTCCTGTGCACAGTTTCCCCGGACCCGTAGCCAATCTGTTGTTTGAACCGTTGTAAAGAAGAAGAGCTAGCGTGTATGTGACTCCTTTCCCGGACTTCCCTTTCGGACCCAGGATCCCCGCTCCCCTCACTGTATATATCTGCACCTGGTGACTGTGTAAATAAACGTTGCTTTCCCCTGAACTCTGCTCTGCGCCTGAGTCCTACCACACCGCATGACAGTGGAATTAAACAGTTATCTGTATATGACAATTCAATTTTCAATTCAATTTTATTTATATAGCGCCAAATCACAACAGCAGTCGCCTCAAGGCGCTTTATATTGTACAGTAGATCGCACAATGAAAGCATTTGTCTAATTTGTTAAAAGAAAAGAGGTTTACAGGAGTATACTGCAGCAGCTGGTTGTAGTGTCGGTTACAGGAAGACAATTCACTGACTCTCTTCATAACTGTATATCTTTTTTATTATTCTTGATTACTTAACACAATTTTACACCTTATTTCAAAAGATGACAAAGTTATCGAAATATTCATTAAAACTGCTACAACAGAAATATTTTCTTGTTAATAGTGCACAGCTTTCTGACATAGTGAAAAGAAAATCACAAAGGATGGCACACCATCATCCACCAGAGCATATAACTTTCACTAAGTTGTTAAAACTACTACATAATTGCCACACACCAGCATATATTAATACATTAAAAACTGACTTACTGTAGAAGTTCTGCACTCACTCATCGTGCTTCTGAAAGTAGGAACACAGATAGAAATAAACTTGAATTTCCTCTGTTTGCTGACTGCAGAACTGCTGTTCTTCCTTTTTATTCTAACTAGAAAAGCTACGTCATGATGCAGAACCTGTGGAGCCTGTGGAACCTGTTGCCATGCCATTTGTTTTGATTGTTTGATGGTAGTGTGACAAGTCCATTGTGTCTGAATAACAACAAGAGTCATTTCTTATGAACTGAAAGTAAAACAAAAATTAATCAGATCAATAGGACAATTCTTGACATTTTTCATTTTCACAAAAAAGGTGTTAAACATTTAAAGAGTTGCAAAAGCAGAAATGATAACTGTGTTCTTAACCATCAATACACAGTTATAAGGACAAGACATGATTTTGTGTACAAGTTCTTAAAGATGGATGACTGATAGTCAGGTTTAAGGGTGCAGTCAGGACTGAACATAACTGGCATCTCTTTAGTTTTTCTCCGTTTGGGTTTACATTTAAAAAGAAGACTGGCCATTTTAATGCCACAGATTATCATCATGATATTCCATAATTACTGGGAGACCAAGGTAATGAAAAAAAATATGCTGCTAATGCTTCCTCTCAGCATCCAAGTAGATACACCAATTGTATCAAACATCACCTCATTCTCGAGTTATCACATCAACACCTGGTGGGATGACAATACCCTTCAGCCTTTTGTGGCTGATAGGATAAAAGGTATGGGGGTTTTTTTTCTCATTTTTTTTACTCTACCCTGTTTCTTATGACTGTAACTGGGATTAGTTCCTGATCTATGTTTTGCAAGCAGTTTAGAGGAGTCAGGAATAAACTAGTGTAACAGGTCTGTAAAAGGTTCTTCCTGATACAGACCTGTTGTATCAGCCTTTTTCTTTGTTTAAGCAAAAATAATCTTAACCATCTCCAGTCAGTCTAGAAAAACTGCTGGAAGGCTCTTAACAAAGAAACGAAAACAGAAAGCACATTACATCAGTTTTATTATCATTACACCGGCTTCCAGTACATTTTTGAATTTATATCAAAATTTTTGATTGTTTGATGGTGGTGTGACAAGTCTATTGGGTCTGAATAATGAGAAGAGTCATTTCTTATGACCTGAAAGTAAAACAAAAATTAATCAGACCAATTAGTTCAATTCTTGACATTTTTCATTTTCACAAAAAAGGTGTTAAACATTGTGATGGCAGATTTTTTTTCTCATATATTAATCACAAATTTAATCATATTACATTAGTTATAATAATATCACTTTCTCACTTTACTATAGTAAGAGCACTCCTGTCACTACTTTACATGCATGTGGAAAGTTAACACAGTGAGGCCATTGTAATGGGAGACATTAAACAGATAGTGGGACTCCTTCTGCTTATCAGGGATGTAAATCTTTAGGTGACGGCCAAGCAGAAAACAAGGTCATAATTCTCTCTGTGAGGGAGAAGGTATAGCCCCCCGTGAGAGGGGCCAACATGTAAGAGTTTGTGGAATGTTCTTTGTCTGTGTCTCTGTATATAAGATGTAAGGGCGGTGGCCACAATTCAGAGATGGTCCTGGTGTTTCACTGGGATGCTCTCTCCACATTGCAATGTGTTTATTAAACCCACTTCAAATCAAGCTCACTGGGTGTGTTGCAGGTTATTGTTAAATTTTCCACAACAACATTTAAAGAGTTGCAAAAGCAGAAATGATAACAATAATAACAGAAAAACAACATCAAAGAAAGAGTAAAAATATAAATAGTACAAGGATAATTTCAAAAAGTAAAGCCAAATAACAAAGATTTTCTCCATGTCTGTCTCCATGTTTATGAGCGAGAGACATAAATATGAAGCCATAACATACCCCAGCCATGCCGGCTTCGACGTTGCCCAGATTAACAAGGTCCGCTCAGATGTTGAGGAACCAGGACACGCTGATGAGAAGTGGAACAAGTCCACAAAAGATGAAAATAGGGCACCCAGTCAGGCCCAACTGATAGCTGCAATGGTCTGGTTTTCCCATAGTGAGCTGGTCCTCAATAAGCTGATCAGTCAAGTTAGAAATATTCATTTCAAAATGTATCCGTGTGTGGGATTATAATATTACCTTATGCCATGTTATACCCCTGATTAAAGATTGTGAATTATTATGTAGTTTTAGTTTGCATTATTCTCCTGAATTAGAAGAAGGTGATAACTATTACATTTGTTAAACTGATTTGCATTACATTAGACTGCTGATTTATTGTGAAAGAATTATATTGTTTTATGATGTCTGATTAGAAGAGAACAGAGCATACTGCCCCATCTCAGCAGGAGCAGATAAACAGGGAGCCAAGGTTGTAGCTTAGGCGCCGTGTGAGAGAAAGAATGTGAATGTTTAGGCTTTTATGACTAGGTGGGGGGCCACTAGAGGCTATAAGAGTTTGATCAATGCTCCACCATTTTGAGATCTGATGCTGTCTGCATACAGTGTCCATCGGCCACATGTGTACATTAAAATCATCGTTTGACTCAACCCGGCCTGTGTCGTCCAGGCTCATTTACCACCACAAGGCTGATTTTTATTAGAACTCATCTCAACTAGTTAGTTTCACTTTTCACCTCCAGACTGGATTGTGACTGTTTCCTCATTTTTTCCTATTCTTGTTTCTCTGTTTATATCACACAGTCTTTTGAAAAAAAAAAAATGGCTCAAGTGTTCTGAATGGAGCTTTAAAGGAGTGTTAGACAGGCTGAACAAGTCTTTAGCTTTTCTGCCTTTGGAGTAATGTGGCATTTGAAGTGATGATTGAGAGTCTCGGAGATGTTTTAAAAAAAAGAAGCTTTATGTACTTTTTGATAATCACACTCCCGGGTTACAGTCCTTTTATTTTCTAATTGTATAATTGGACACTTCGAATGAGTTTAAAGACTTAAGAAAGGCTGGCTGACTCTTTCTATAAAAAGTATATTAAACATAAGTCCTATGCAGTATAATGTGTTACACTCATTTTTGCTGTGACGTGATTAAGGACACGTCCCTCTGATTACGATGGTCCTTCAACATGTGCTAGACACAATTCAATTGCTTTTGACTGAGGATGAGTTAAGACACAATAAATGATATATCACAGTTTTTCTTTAACACCACTTTTAAATGCTGAAATCACAAAACCTTCAACACCAGGCTATTTGGAGAACATGAACTGACTCGCTTCCGATGACTATCTTCTGTTTTGCCACTGTGGACGCCTCCAATGCAGCATTAATATGATTCTTGTGGTCATCAAAGAAGATGTGAGGGCTGATCTTCTCAAGGGTGGGAGCTTTTTCACTCCCTCCCACAAACACAGTGTTCTCTGATCACTTCGTTGAGTGATTCTGATGGGCCGTCATCAGTGAGTATAATCTTACACGTTCTTCACTCTCAGGGTAATGCTACTTAAGTTTAGCATTCACTGCCTGCAGAACCTGAGAGCACAATATATCCCCCAAAATTTCTGTTTATTCAGGTGGAAACTAAAGAACTGTTTCAGAAAAGTACTTGCTTGTATTTATGTGGTGTTTCCTGCTGTGTGTGTGTCACCTCATCTCACCTACTGCTCTTGTGTCTGCTGTGATAACTCTTTATTCTTTCCCAGATTATTTCTGTTTCTCAGTATTTTCCTTAACAGGAATCAAACCAGAATCAAGCTATGAGTCATGTTGGCGATTTAATTTTACACTACAGGGAGCGCAGAATTATTAGGCAATAGTGTGTGTTCGATGTGGGCTCGTGGCAAATAAAGTTCTTCCACTCTGACATCATTCCCCGTCTCTGACCGGACATTATTACCAGGGAACAGTACCGAATCACGTTTCAGAGATAGTGGTCCAGGGCGTCCACTATAACAAGTGGTCCTTCGAGCAACCTAAGGATGTTTGCACTAAAGGTACGCTCCCTGGTCAGCATGCTTGCACAATTAGGAAGGAAAGGAACTGTGGAGCAGGAATTTGGGTCCCATGTGTCAAGGTTGCTTGAAAAACTGCCGCATGATTTGAGATCCAGCTTTAGTCCATACAGGGAGTGCAGAATTATTAGGCAAGTTGTATTTTTGAGGAATAATTTTATTATTGAACAACAACCATGTTCTCAATGAACCCAAAAAACTCATTAATATCAAAGCTGAATGTTTTTGGAAGTAGTTTTTAGTTTGTTTTTAGTTTTAGCTATTTTAGGGGGATATCTGTGTGTGCAGGTGACTATTACTGTGCATAATTATTAGGCAACTTAACAAAAAACAAATATATACCCATTTCAATTATTTATTTTTACCAGTGAAACCAATATAACATCTCCACATTCACAAATATACATTTCTGACATTCAAAAACAAAACAAAAACAAATCAGCGACCAATATAGCCACCTTTCTTTGCAAGGACACTCAAAAGCCTGCCATCCATGGATTCTGTCAGTGT